TTAAGACATAACATCTTGCATATTGGACTCTTCATTCGACATCAGTTTAGTGATGAGATTGTAGCTTAGACGCGTTGCTTGAGTGCTACTAAGTGAATAGATTGAGAGAGAATCTTCAAATGAGACGGATATAGGTAGTCAAGCACTGCTCAAGAATTTCTTCCTTTTAAAAAAAGTTATAAAATGATCAGGATTCAGACAATTTCAAGTGAACAGCACTGGTCTAATGCTTTGAGCGCTTTACTATGGCTTCACATTATCGAACTGCAGCAATGAATCAATGACCACCATGAACTTACCTCCCATATAAGGGCACAAGCAAAGAATATCCATGCATTCGTATGGATCGGAACCATTTTTACGAAAGAAATCGCTTGGTCGTGATCTCCGATTTGCAGAATCTGCTTGAGGACGCCAAACGAATTCCTCTGGTCGCCGTGAAGAAATGTGCTCTTGCGCATGTGCATCAAAAGGTTGTTGAGTTGGCAGAGCTTGCTGAGACGAGGCTTGTAATGGCTGAGGTTGAGGCAGAGGCTGAGGTTGCGATTGATGCAGTGCTGCGGGTTGCTGAACATGTGCATGAGTCCACCGGCTCTGGGGATGTTGAACACTTGCGAGTGGCGGCTGAGTTGGCCTTGAGACACTACCGAATCGCTGCGTTTCAATGGACCATTGTTGCGGTTGTGTTTGTTGAGCAGGCTGTTGCCTGTCAGATGGAGATATGAATTCCCTCTCAGAAGATGGTGGAAATTGTTGCTGAGGTGAGACGGGTCGTTGAGAGAGTCGAATTCCAAAATTCTGATTTTCCGGCGCTGTTCCGGTTCCGAATCCCGGCGTCGTCTGTTGACGTCCCGATGGTTCGAATCGACGATCGTCACTTCTCACACTCTCCCACTGTGGTTCTTGCTGTTGTTGCTGTACTTGCTGTTGTTGCTGTAATTGTTGCTGCTGTAGTTGTTGTTGCTGTAGTTGTTGTTGCTGTAGCTGTTGTTGCTGTAGTTGTTGTTGCTGTAGTTGCTGTTGTTGTAGTTGCTGCTGCTGTAGCTGTTGTTGGTGTAGTTGTTGTTGCTGTAGTTGTTGTTGCTGTAATTGTTGTTGCTGTAATTGCTGCGGTTGCTGCATTTGTTGCTGTTGCTGCAATTGCTGCTGTTGTATCAGAAACC